ATCTTCCCAGGAAAAGGGCTGGGGAACTGAAATTTTAGTAAGTTCATAAATTAGAGATGCAAATAGAGAAAAATCAGGAACCCAAAGTCTGCATAACCAGCTAGGCTCAGAAATCCACAAAGCTCTTTCTTAGTTGTAGGCCTAGGAAATTCTTCAATTAACTTAATTCTTTCTGGAGATACCTGGATGCCTTCAGCGCTTAGGTTCTGACCTATGTCATGAACAGTGTCCAAAAATAATTGGAATTCTGTTTAGAGACTTTATGTCCTTTTTCAGCTAAGTGTTGCAGCAAATAAAGGGACTCTTTTACGGGTGCCTCTTTGGTAACTGAGCGCGGCAAGAGGTCACCCACATATCGTAAAAGGGTCAATTTCCCGGGGGAACTGGAGGGTGCTTAGACCTTGAGGGAGTACTTGGGAGAAATAAGAAGGGGCCACAGTGAACCTTTGGGGCATGACTGTCCAGGTATATTGTTGATTATTCCAAGTAAAGGTGAATAAATATTGACTGCAGGGTCTCCAAGGATGCTGACAAAGGCTGAACAGAAGTCTATAGCGCTGAACCATCTTAAATATGGCAGAGCTTGTGTCAAAAGGGTTTGGAACAACTGGGAAACAGGGAATGACTGTCTTGTTACTAGCTCTTAAGTCTTTGATAAATCACCACGCCCTCCCATCAGGTTTCCGGACTGGCGAGACCAGTGCGTTACAGGGTACAGAGAAGGACTAATTCCTGGGCAATTAGGTCTTTTATTACTGATGTGAGGCCTTGTATGGCTTCAGGCTTTAATGGATATTGAGGCCATTTACGAAGAGGTTTAGTCACATCTATCTGAATTTTTATAGGCTCTGCATTTTTTATTTTCCCGGTGTCAGTATTAGAAGTAGCCTACTGATTTTCAGGCACCTCGGTTACATTAGGGGATCTTCGTTGGAATTCTTCTATACCAAAGACAGATTGTAAAAAACGTCAGAGATCAGGTTCGGGTTGATCAGGAAATTCTAAGGTGAGCAAAGCATATTTAGCTCTTTTAATTTAGAAAGGAGATCTCTCTGCCTAATATATTCACTGGGGCTGGGTCACATAGCAAAAAAGAATGCTTTTCAGTAAAAGGTCCCAGAGCCATTTGTACTGGTTGAGATAGAAATTCTTCCTGAACTTTATTAGATACCCCCTCTATGGAAACCTTTTTTTCATTCTAAGAGATTTCTGAGAGTGGGATTTAAAGTAGAAAGTATAGCCCTGGTATCTACCAGAATTTGGTAAGATTTTCCATTAATTTTCATTTTAATTTCCTCTTGGCTATTTAAGGGTAGCAGTTTACCTGAGGGTCCCTCAGAGCTGCATCAATCCTGGGAGTGGCCATATGGGGGCCCTCCCTTGGGGGCATTTGAGTGGATATTTAGGAATTTGCATAGCATCTTTGAGGACAATCTTTTTTCCAGTGCCCCAGTTGATTACAAAGGAAACATTAATCCTTGGGCCATGTTTTGATGGTGGACCCCTAGGAAGGTGCAGTGTAGGGAAACCAGGTATTATTTTAGGTCTCTGGCCTTGGAGCTATTGTAGCTGTAAGGCCATAGATTGAAGGACCTTTATGATGTTGGTCCAAAGTCCTTTCAAAGCGTTCAGCAGGAAAAGATGAGTTTTCACATTAACGAAGGACAGAGGGGAGAAGTGGGAGGCATGCATCAGTCTTAAGTTTTCTAATGAAGCTATTTTGGAATCTTGAAGCCTTTGGGGAGCTCTGCAGACCAATTAAAGCAAGTATCCTGTTCTGTTTAATTCAGAAAACAATAGCTTCAAGCACACTTCTTAAATGAAGGACCATGACTAATTGGAACATTCCCCAGACTGGCCATTGTAATCCTAGGTTGTTTTTAGTAAGATTTTGCCATTTTTGTAGATAGCTTCGAGGACCATAGTTTTTAAACATAAAATAAGCAGATGTGCCAGAAGGTGGCGTGCTTGACTCTCTAGAATTTAAGAATCCCCTACACTAAGCCTTTGGGTTTTTTAAACCTAAAGGGATGCACCGCTGGGTTGGGGATTGTGCATGTTTTGCAGTGCACCTTGTTGCACGGAAGTTTTCTTGAGGTTGGCGGGTTACCTACTGTCGATCTAACCTGTTCCGTGGTCAACTTGTCTTTGATTTAGCTGCCGATCACTCTAACGGCCTTTATATGCTTAACCTGCAGCCACCAATTTTTGCAGCTTTTTGGCCTCTGAGATCCCTGCTAGCAATAGCCTTTATTTACATAAAATGAGACAAAGGTGCACTTTGACACACCAGCAGTGACCAAGAGATGCTACTGTGACCTGGCTAAGAGAAGGCCTGTGCATCCCAACAATTTCTGTGGAACCTTGGCCTGGGGAAAGGATTGGACCAACGGTGGGGACTCAACGAGTGCAGGCTGTGGCCTGGGGGTTCTAATATGAACAGAATTAAGGGCTGGGGTTTTGTTTCTGTTTTTGTTTTTTTGCGGTACGCGGGCCTCTCACTGTTGTGGCCTCTCCCATTGCGGAGCACAGGCTCCGGTCGCGCAGGCTCTGCGGCCATGGCTCACGGGGCCCAGCCGCTCCGCGGCATGTGGGATCCTCCCGGACCGGGGCACGAACCCGCGTCCCCTGCATCGGCAGGCGGACTCTCAACCACTGCGCCACCAGGGAAGCCCTAGGGCTGGGGTTTTTCTGTTTAAAACCTGGGAATTGTCTGAAAGGCTAAGGGCTTAGCTCAGTTAGCAGAACCATCTACCAGCATAAGCTGACCTGCCCTGTAAGCCAAATAGATCGGGAGCTCGATGCAAAGAAAGTTCAGAACCAAGAGCGAACTTATTACCCACAGCCCTTGGAAAGGGCACGAAAGACAGTGAATTCAAAAGGGGGCTCATGGGTACATCACCTGTGTTTTTCACTGTCCCCGAAGCCATCAGAAGTCTCCTTCAGTCCCTCTGCTGCCACCAAACCTGTTAAATAACAAAAACTCAACTGAGTAAATCTTAAAGATCTAATTGGCTTTATTGAATGAATCGGACAGCATCCCATCTAGCAAGTGAAGAGGAACTTTGTTGAGCTGCAGAAAAGGAAAGTGTTTTAAAGGCACGGAGGGAGCAGAAAAAAAAGGAAATTATTAGCAAAGATGCATTGTTTTAGGCAAGGCCACCCTCCTGAAGGGAATGGAAGGGTCTGTCCACAGATTTCCCAGGACTGACCAGGAAATCCCAGGTTAGCTGGAATCACATTCCTGGGGAAGGTTGAAACTGTAATTAGCTTAGGCATCAAGTCTTGGTCTGCTGCCATGGGACCACAAGTGACTCCATCCGGGGCCTGTTGTTTCCTTTTTAACAAGGGGCAGAGGTCGTTTGGTCCACCTGACTGCAGGGGTGCATCCTGGTAGATGCATGATTGGGAACAGCGTGAAGAAAAAGGGCAGTGGGCCGGGCAGACACCTGAAGGGTAGCAAGGTATTATTGTTATGGAAGGAAGGAAATACACCAAATTTTTAACAATATTTATCACTGGATGACTGGATCATGATGGTCTTTATTTTATGTATGCTATTTTATGTTGTGCAAATTTTCTAAAACACAATGTGTATTTTTATTTTTTTAATTTTTATTTTTTGGCTGCACCACATGGTTTGTGGGATCTTAGGACTGAACCCATGCCCTTGACAGTGAAAACGCAGAGTCCCAACCACTGGACCGCCAGGGAGTTCCCACAATGTGTCTTTTTAGGATCAGGAGAAAAGTGGGTTTTGTTTTGTCTTTTAATATATAACATGTATTGGGTCCTGTCTCTGTTATGTGCCAGCTTGTTGAGTGTGGGAGATGCAAAGCTGAATGATTAATGGACATTCTCTGTCTTCAGTGAGCCTGACTACTTGTGCCGACTGCCCCTTTCTTGTGTTTATATACTTACCTGCGAAGACCTCGAGAGATTCTAAATGGTTTCTGCCCCCAGTGTCATTAAGTTATGTAGCTCTGAACTCCAGTAACAACTGTAGTCCAAACTATGCGATTTAGTTGTGATTATATGTATTTGTTGGTTCTTAAATTGTTTCAAATGAATGTATCTCTTCTTCTGAAAAAAGACTGTAAGTTTTTTTTTGAAGACAAAACAGTCTTAATATTTCTTTAATATCCCTCAAGTTGACTAGACTGGTATTCATTATGAGCAATAAATATGAGTTTGCTGGTTAAAATTCACTTCGCGTCACCAAAGAACTAACGGTCCCATAACTGCCATTATGTGTCTCTCATGGATCTGTTTACCTAATATTTAAATGGCCAGTTCTTCCCCCACTTTTATGAAATTAGCCTTAATTCCCCTTTCACCATGCACACTTCCTTCATCTTCACATTTTGACTAGCCAGCGCTCATGGTTTTATGAGCATAAGTGCCTGTTTCAGTTAAGAATTTGGATAGACCGCAAAATCATGTTTCTTCTTTCCTATACATAGGGAATTCTATCCCTAAAATTGTGACATATGGTCTTTAAATGAATTTTTGTGGCTTTTACTATGGCTGGGGTTACATTCCGTTTTGAAAGCTTTTCCCATGGTTCCATCTGAATACAATCTTTGAATCTCATGGGAGAGGTAACACTGATATAGTGTGAAGCCAGAAAGACTAAGATTTGGATCTCAGCTCAACTGATGGGGGGACCACTTCCGCACCAATACCTTACCTCTCTGAGCCTCAGTTTCCTTGTATGGAAAATGGGAATCATAACACCTGCCCCTTGATGTGAAGATTAAACACGTGTGCCACGCCTACCACAGAGGTGATCAGTAAACATTCGCTAAACCGATGAAAGGGAAAGAAAGTAAAGTACTATCAGGAAAACACCCTCATAATTGTGTCTGTCCCAAAGGGCAGTGAGAGTCCCCGGTAAAGGATGCAGAACTCCTTTTAGTGTCAAATTACTCGGGCAAAGGTCAGCCCCTCCTTCAGTTGAAAAGCTGGGGGCAGGGCTTAACAAGGAAGTGACTCCCTTCCCTAAGCCTCCTTCCAGCCTTAGTCCCAACCTGAAGAGGCTACACCCGGGTGGAGTCTTACATCACAAGAGCTTTCCAAAATGAGAAGCCAAGAAGACTTGGCCAAAGTTCCCTCTTAAGTTTCGTGGAGAGAGACTCAGGTATAGAAATATCCTTCCTGCCGCCTGACCCGAAGCAGGAGAAACTGCTGACAGCTTGGAGACCAGGTAATACTGGGAGACACCAGTCTTCACGTTCAGCCTTCCCAGCAGGACACAGGGGACTTCAGTCCTGGTTTTGCTAATGAGGCAATCTAACGGGGGGTTCGTAAACCTAACGTTTACGGCATTTATTTAAAAGTTCTGATCATGTAAGTCTCAGGAAGCAAAACTAAAATCTAAAACTGAAAGCTAGCATCTGCCTTATTAGGGGTTTCCAGAAAAGGGAGAAGTATTTAGGTTTCCCTTTCATTTCTCCTTTGCTCCAGAAGGTTTGGGAGGGTTAAGAATACATAACTGGCCGAATCATTGTTAACATTATGCAGGTCTGTCTCATTGAGTGTGTAGCAAGGTATGTGATAGTGTGACAGAAACCCATTGAAATGCCAGCTACCTCCCCCAGAGCAGAAATGGGCTGAGGACAAGAGCCCCTGGCTTTGAGCCCTGAGTACCTGTGGGCAGTTGGGCACCAGATCTAGTCCCAGCAGACCCCCTAGAGACTTCCTTGAGTACAGGGCGCAGGTGAAATGGGGAATACCCTCCCCCAGGAGGCTCCCTCCTGAGTTCCCTGCCTGCTCTGTTCTACAATCATCAGAGCCTGAGTCTTTGTGTTTAATTAATAAGACCTGAGGCTCTCTCTGTTTAGCTTCTATTGTAGGAATTTAACACGTTTTACCTCATTCCTCATTTTCACCCTTAGGATTAAAAACCACAGGGGAGGAGGGATGAAGACACCATAAGGTGAAGTTCAGGGAAGGAAGGGGAAGGGGTGGACCGCCTCTGAAGGGCGTAAGGGGGCAGAGGGTGCAGAAGGAGAGGCCCAAGGCAACCGGACAAAACTCAGCTCAAAATCTGGCCTGGGAGCATCCCTCTGGGATGAGTGTTCTCACCCATGTCTTACACTCGGGCCTTGTCTGTGTGTCCAGAGTGATGGAAGTCAGCTCTCTGGCAGAGCCTGTTGCTAAGGGGTCCTCCACGCCCCTCCCCCCCGGGACAGGCCGGAGCAGAGTTCCGTCCAGGGCAGAGTTCCGTCCAGCTTCCTGGGGCCCTGGTGGCCACAGCCTCTGTGCATGCATGAGGGCTGTTTGCTCTGTGACCTGACACAGGAAGGGAAGGAAAATCTAACCTCGACCAATGAATCCAGAACTAGAAAAATCCCTAAAGTGTGTCCTGTGATCTTGGAGGTCAGATGCTGCTCTGCAGGCCAAGCAGCGCTGCTCTGTGGTGCTCCCAGGAGACTAGCCACCAGGGACTCCGAGGACTTTGGCCATTTAGGGGGTTGGGGGGAAGAAACCCTTCGAGAGGGAAGAGAGGCCAAAAAAGACACTGCGAAACCTTGCTTTCGGGGAGTAGGTCTGTGAGAGTTTGCTGTAGATATGCAAGAGGGTATGTAAATACTGGATCCAAAGGGTAGGGCTGTGTGCACTGAGTCACTGAATTACAATGAGCCTCACAGGGTTTATTCCGGAGCTAATTTTCCACTCCAGGCTCTGAACCTACATTCTGGGGCCTCACCCAGGGCTTCATTTCCATCAACATAAGCATAAAACTTACCTGTACGTTTCCATTAACCCAGAAGTTGGGCTGCTTCTACTTTGAACCCGAACAGCTGAGAGCAGAAGGGCTGCAGTGGTAATAAAGTAACCCACTGCTGCTTTAAAATAAGACGTCGTTATCAATTTAACAGCTCTCCCGTCATTCCCAGTGAGGATGAGTAGGAAAAGCACCCTACGCTTGTCAAGTGCCTTGAAAGTGTCTGAACTCATCCTTTGACGCAGCTGCAAGCGCTCGCCGGGGCTGGTCAAGATCCCCTCGGTCCCGGGGGCTGCCTGAGCACTGCCCTGCCCTCTGCTTCTCTCTCGCCCTTGGCCTTACCTCCTGGTTGGGCCCTCAGCTCCTTTCTAGCCTGGGAGACGGCAAAAATCTCTTCTTTCACGAAGTGGAAGTGCTGTGTGCTCCATCTTGACCTCTGCTTTCCCCCCTTTTCGAATGTTGCTCCTGAATCAGCAATGAGCAAACTCTTTCTTTTTTTCTCTTTTCTCTTTTTTTTTGCGGTACGCGGGCCTCTCACTGTTGTGGCCTCTCCCGTTGCGGAGCACAGGCTCCGGACGCGCAGGCTCAGCGGCCACGGCTCACGGGCCCAGCCGCTCCGCGGCACGTGGGATCCTCCAGGACCGGGGCACGAACCCGCGTCCCCCGCATCGGCAGGCGGACTCTCAACCACTGCGCCACCAAGGAAGCCCAGCAAACTCGTTTCTTAAAGAAGTCGGACCCTTCCTCTCTCTCCAAGAGCAGCGCCCCCCGCCCCGCCCCCCCACACCTATACACACAATTTTAAAGTCTTCACACTGCATTAAAAAGGTTTGGTTGGTTGGGTTGGCTTTAACCGACACGGTTTCTTCGGAGCGTAGTCCTGTGGCTGGGAGAGGGCTCCCCCGCTACCAATGCAACGGCTCCTGGAAGACCCGCGGGTACCTCATGCCTACGGGGCTTCCTGAGCTGCCCAACTCAAAAGGATGCTCGGAATTAAAACCCGCCTAAACGCCCTTCCGGCGCTGCTCTCGGCCTGGGCTCGGCCACTTCCGCGCCGCATCGGCGGCGCCCGACTCCCGACCGCGTGTCCCGCTCTTTCTCTCGCGTGACTCAGGTCGCTCAGGCTCCACCCTCGGTCCACTTTCCTCGCCTCCAAGAACCCGAGGTCTCAGTTTTTCTAAGCGGCACCTTTTATTCACCGAGTTGCCAGGTATGCATAAAAATACAAGAGGCCCTGGCCCTGTTGGGTATGAATTTCAGATAAACAACAGATACTGTGTTTTAGTGTAAGCATATCCCATACAATACTTGGGACACACTTATACTAAAAAATTATTTATTTACCTGACATTCTAATTGACTAGCTCTCCCATATTTCATCTGACAGCTCTATATCATGTTTCTTTCATTCATCAAATATTTCCCGAGAGCTTATCAGGTGTCAGGCATTATATGAGGTGCTGGGAAAGCCAGCCAAGTCCCAGGCTTCATATCTTACAAGTATGTATACTTTATGCACACACACCCATACACACATACTCTCTCTCTCTCTCTCTCTCTCTCTCTCTCTATATATATATATATATATATATAGTTTCCTATAGTCATATATATATTTGACATATGTTTACTATAGTCATATATATATATGACTATAGTAAACTACAGGAAACAAGTGTGAATTTTGTGCTAAACCAAATATTTGCATGTCATTAGTTTTCTTAATTGCTGCTTTTGATGAATTTTCTTTTATAAACATATTAAACCTTACAAGAAAGGCAACCTATTAAAATAGTTGGGGTCTTTTTGGCTGCGCCGCAGGATGGCATGCGGGATCTTAGTTCCCCAACCAGGGATCAACCCGCGCCCCCTGCAGTGGAGGCGCGGAGTATTAACCACTGGAATACCAGATTAAGTCCCCTATTTTTTTTTTTTTTTTTTGAGGTACGCGGGCCTCTCACTGTTGTGGCCTCTCCCGTTGCGGAGCACAGGCTCCAGACGCGCAGGCCCAGTGGCCATGGCTCACGGGACCAGCCGCTCCGCGGCATGTGGGATCTTCCCGGACCGGGGCATGAACCCGTGTTCCCTGCATCGGCAGGCGGACTCTCAACCACTGCGCCACCAGGGAAGCCCAGAAGTCCCCTATTTTAATGAATAAAGACGCTAATATTTATTGAGCATTTAACATCTACCATGCACTACTTTAAGTGATTTACACGTGCTAATTTTTTTTTTGCCCACATACCTATGTGATGGGGGGAGGGTTTTTTTTATGGGTTTTAAAAAAATTTTTTGTTGATGTATAATATTACATAAGCTTCAGATGTATAACATAGTTATTCACAATTTTTAAAGGTTATACTCCAGTTATAGTTATTATAAAATAATGGCTATATTCCTTGTGCTGTACAATATATCCTTGTAGCTTATTTATTTTATACCTAATAGTTTGTACCTCTTAATCCCCTACCCCAATCTTGCCCTTTCCCCTTTTCCCCTCCCCACTGGTAGCCACTAGTTTCTTCTCTATATTTGTGAGTCTGTTCCTTTTTTGTTATATTCATTAGTTTGTTGCATTTTTAAGATTCCACATATAAGTGGTATCATACACTATTTGTCTTTCTCTGTCTGACTTATTTCATTTAGTATAATATCCTCCATGCTGTTGCAAATGGCCAAATTTCATCCTTTTTTATGACTGAGTAGTATTCCATTGTGTGTGTGTGTGTGTGTGTGTGTGTGTGTGTGTGTGTGGTATGTGTAGTACACATACATTTACGTAGTACACATACATTTATCCATTCATCTGTAGATGGACGCTTAGTTTGCTTCCATATCTTGGCAACTGTAAATAATGCTGCTATGAACATTGTGGTGCATGTATCTTTTTGAATTAGTGTTTTTGGTTTTTTCAGACATATACCCAGCAAGGCAATTGCTGGGTCATATGGTAGATCTATTTTTAGTTTTTTGAGAAACCTCCATACTGTTTTCCACAGTGGCTGCACCAATTTACATTCACACCAACAGTGTATGAGAGTTCCCTTTTCTTGACATCGTCGCCAACTTATGTTATTTGTAGACTTTTTGAAGATAGCCACTCTGACAGGTAAGAGGTCATATCTCATTGTGGTTTTGATTTGCATTTCTCTGATGATAACGATGTTGAGCATCTTTTCCTGTGCCTGTTGGCCATCTGTATTTCTTCTTTGGAAAAATGTCTATTCAGGTCTTCTGTCCACTTTTTAATTGGGTTGTTTGTTTTTTTGATACTGAGTTGAAATGAGCTGTTAATTCTGTATGGGACTCTCTGCACTTCCTGGACTAGGATGTCTGTTTCCTTTCCCAGAGTAGGGAAGTTTTCAGCTATTATACCTTCAAATACTTTCTCAGCCGCTTTCTCTCTCTCTTCTCCATCTGGGACCCCTATAATGAAAATACTTGTGTGCTTGATGCTATCCCAGAGGTCTCTTAAACTGTCCTCATTTCATTTTCTTTTCTTCTGTTCAGCATCAGTGATTTCCACTACTCTGTCTTCCAGCTCGCTGATCCATTCCTCTGTATCATCTAGTCTACTGCTGGTTCCTTCTAGTGTATTCTTCATTTCAGTTATTGTATTCTTCATCTCTGTTTGGGTCTTTATATTTTCTCTTTGTCAAAAACTTCTAACTTCTCACTCTCCATTCATTCTTCTCCCGAGTTCTTTAATCATCTTTATGATCACTACCCTGAACTCTTTCTTGGGTAGATTGCCTATCTCCACGTCACTTGGTTCTTCTGGGACTTTATCATTCCTTTGTTTGGAAAACGTTCCTCTGTTGCCTCAGTTTGCCTAACTTGCTGTTTTTATTTCTCTGTATCTGGTAGGTTGGTTACATTTCCTGATCTTGGAGAAGTGGCCTTGTGAAGGAGACGTCCTCCACATCCCATCAGTGCACTCCCTTTTCATCACTAGAGCTATATGCTCCAGGGGTGCCTCCTGTGTGGGTTGCATGGGCCCTTCTGTTGTGTGGGATGACTACTGTGGGTGGTCTTGTAGGCTTGGTTGGCCCCTGGTCCAGTTGGATGCCAGGCCCTACCTTGTGCGGAGGCTGCCAGCTGCTGGTTGGCAGGGCCAGGTCACAAGGTGGCTGACTGCAGAACCCCAGGGTGGGGAGGGGGCAGGGCTAAGGCTGAATTACTGGAGGATGGAGTCAGGGTCCAGGAGACCCTGGGGCTAGTGCCGGCCTACTGGTAGGCAGAGTCAAGTCCTAGGGTCTGGTTGTAGGGCCCAAGGGTCCTAGACCTGGTGGATGGGCCCAGTTCCTGACACAGTTGGCTGCAGGGTCCGGGGTGTCCCAAAGCTTGCATTGGCCTGTTAGTGGGTAGGGCCAGGGCCCAGCTAGTTCCAGGGCTGGTGCTGGCCTCCTAGTGGGTGGGCTGTGTCCACAGGCTGCAAGGCTGTGGTTGTGTTGTGGCTGGTGTCTGCCCACTGGCGGGTGAGGCTGGTCCTGAGGTTAGAGCAGGCTCACTGGAGGGTAGGGTCAGGGCCCAGGGGGTTGTGGGGTCTCTGGCTGGAAAGCCCTGGGGGTCCTGGGTCTAGTGCCTGCGCACTGGTGTATGGGGCGGGGTCCTGGGCCCTCTGGTGGGCGGGGCTGTGTCCAGGGGCAGCTGTGGACTCAGGGGGTCTTAAGGCAGCCTGTCTGCTGATGGATGGCACTGTGTGTATGCCCACTTAGTTGCTCTGCCTGAGGTGTCCCAGCCCTGGCGCCTACAGGGTGCTGGGCCGCTGCGAGGCTAATCCCCGAGGCTAATAAGCTAGAGGGAGGATTCCAGAATGGGGCGGGCCAGCACCAACATCCAGATAGTAGAAGGAACTCTAAGAACAGCTGCCACCAGTGTCCATGTCCCCAGGGTGAGCGGCAGACGCCTCCTGCCTCTCCAGGAGACTCTCCAAAGTCAGTAGGTACGTCTGACCCAGGCTCCTTTCCAATGACAGCTTCTGCTCTGGGTCCCAGAGCGTGTGAGGTTTTGTGCGTGCCCTTTAAGAGCAAAGTCTCTGTTTGCCCTAGCCGTCTGGCTCTCCCGAAAGTAAGCCCCTCTGGCCTTCAAAGCCAAATGCTCTGGGGACTCATCTTCTCAGCACAGGGCCCCCAGGCGGGAAGGCCCCAGACCTCTCACTCCTTTGGAGAGCCTCTGCAGCTGTAATTATTCTCCCATTTGTGGGCCACCCACCCAGGGCTATGGCACTTGACTCTATCGCAACTTTGCCCCTCTGGCTCGTTTTGCTGTGGTTCCTTCTTTCTATCTTTAGTTGTTGAAGATCTTTTCTGGTAGGTTCTGGTCTTTTTTATCGAGGGTTGTTTGGCAAATAGTTGTGATTTTGGTGTGCCCATGAGAGGAGGTGACGTCAGGGTCTTTGTACTCCACCATCTTGGCTGATCTCCTGCCAGGGTTGTTGTTTTGTTTTGTTTTGTTTTACCCCATTTTACAGATGAAAAAAATGAAGGCAGAAATAAATTAAGGTATGTAGCCTGTCACACAGCTAGTAAGCCGATGACCCAGGATTTGAACCACGTTATCCGTCTCAAGTTAGACGATATGAATCGCATCTTGTAAATGGAAAAACTACACCTCGTTGGAGACTACATGACTTGCCTCAGCCCCCTTGCCAATAAGTATGAAAAGCAGCTCTTCAACCACCTTTTCACCCCACGTGCTACACTCTCCCCATTACGCCGCCCGAAAACCCCTTGCAACTTCTCTAGAACAGCGTGGCCGGCCGTAAGTGGGTTTCATAAATATTTTTTTAAATCAAATACTTGTTCAAACACTTAAATGCTATTCTAAATGCTTTACAAATATTAACTCATTTAATCTTTGTAACAGAAGGAAACGTACTACTCTCATCCCCATTTTATTATTTATTTTTTAAAGATTTTTTTTGATGTGGACCATTTTCAAAGTCTTTATTGAATTTGCTACAATATTGCTTCTGTTGTTTCTATGTTTTGGTTTTTTTGGCCACGAGTCATGTGGGATCTTAGCTCCCTGACCAGGGATCGAACCTGTACCCCCTGCATTGGAAGGCAAAATCTTAACCACTGGACTGCCAGGGAAGTCCCTTCATCCCCATTTTAAACATGAGGAAACTAAAGCCTGGAGAGTATGTCACATAACTGCTAACGGCAGAGCCAGGATTGGAACCCAGACAGTCTGTCTCAGAATAGGAAAAAGTCCACAGTTCACCGCCAAGTGCCTTTCTGCCCCAGGCATTACTGTAGGAGCTGGGCACCCAGCAGAGAAAAAATAGCACATCAACATGCCTGTCCTCCTGGCACTTACATTCCATTGTGGAAAAGAGAATGAAGTCTAGATAAATTGGAAGACCTGGGAAGGATCCTCATGGGTGTGACTGAAACTGGGCACCAAGAGGGGAAGAACGGTTGACCTGTGAGAATGGGGCGAGGAGGGGGGCGCAGGCAGAGAGAGGTGAGGGCGGAGATGCTGAAGTGATTCCAGACAGCAGAAAGTTCCCTGCAGTGCACAATGGGCGCGTGAAATCGGGAGTAGGTGAGGGAAGGAAGATAGTCCAAGCCCCAGAATAGGACAGGCGTGTGACGAAAGGGAGGGAGGAGGACCCAGTGGCAGTGACGCCCCTCAAGCACTGCTCACGCTTAGTCGCCCGAGGCAGGCCTGGGGGGCTTTGCAGTCGTGCAGATATATCTGTGTGTGCAGTAGGTGTCTCAGGTTTTGCAGCCCTGCCCTTGGCCACCCTGGCAGATCACTTCTGCCCCCTCCGTCTGTACCTGATGTTCTGGCACAACCCCTGAATCTCCCGCCTGGCATCACTTCCATCAGAACTGCTTTCTCGAGGCTTGGCCACAGAGCGCTTCCTGGATGAGCAGCTTCCTATCATCCAGTGTGAGGCTCTTCCAAAAGAAGATAGGAAACAACGATAGAAACAGGACGCCTCATCGACAGGCCTGCAGGGGAGATGTCTCCGCCCTCACACCTCCTTCAAATAGTAATAGAATCAGAGGGGAAAGTCAGAGAGCATTTGCTGTGAAATCAGAGGACCAAAACAATTGAGAGATTGCCCAAGCACTTTGCAAGTTATACACTGAGCCAACCCTGGACCATCGGCCTCCAGGCACACAGTCAAATTGATCTGAACCACGTCACAATGCCTCAAACCCCATCTGCGGTCACTGTCCCAATTCTTTTATTTTTTTTTAATTTTGCCTTTTTTTTAAAATTTTAATTATTTATTTTTGGCTGTGCTGGGTCTTCGTTTCTGTGCGTGGGCTTTTTCTAGTGTGGCGAGCAGGGGCCACTCCTCATCACGGTGCGCGGGCCTCTCACTATCGCGGCCTCTCTTGTTGCAGAGCGCAGGCTCCAGACGCGCAGGCTCAGTAGTTGTGGCTCACAGGCCTAGTTGCTCCGTGGCATGTGGGATCTTCCCAGACCAGGGCTCTAACCCGTGTCCCCTGCATTGGCAGGCAGATTCTCAACCACTGTGCCACCAGGGAAGCCCCCAATTCTTTATCAGTTGATCATGGTGTAAGAGGGGACAGTGGAAAGAAAAGGAGAGACATGCCAGCCGATCCCATCAATATCACTACAGCTCTTTATTATCACACCAGCTCACATGCCAAAAAACACTCTTAAAGTTGGACCATTAAGGGAAGGGTCCATGATTAAGAGCCACATCAAGGACCCAGTCAGAGGGCCTGGGGTGACAGTTGTACTAAAAAAAAAAAAATAGCTACCGTTTTTGAGCCAGGTTCTGTGTTGGGGTTTCTCATGCATTACATTGTACCCTCACAATACCCCTGCAAGATGACTATTATTATTTTCAATTTACCTGAAGGAAGCTCAGGTTCAGAGAGGTGAAGTAACTTGCCCCAGGTCACACAGCTAGTCGGTGGTATGGCCAGGATTTGAACTCAGGACTGTTAGACTGAGAAGCCCAAGCTGGTTTCCAGCACATGCACTGTCTGTGAAATTTTAATCCAATGACGGTTGGTAGATCTGGGCTCTCTGGCATCTGGGACAAAAAGGAAATCATAGTCCTTAAGATACAGCCAAAGAAAGCAAAGTAGATCAGAAAGAAATGATTTCCTAGCAGACAACCATTTAAGGAATTATTTCATGAGAGCTTAAATTGAACACAATCAGTTAATTACATCTATCTGGTTATTCATATGGAAATAAAGATGAAACTTCCATCCCCGTCATTTTAGTGCTTGTACTGATCTTTCTAAAACAGGTCTGTGGTCACTCTCCCGCTCCAGACTTTGAAAAGCTCTCCATTGCTTCCATCAGTGTGCTTCAAACTTGTAAAAAAAAAAAGGATTTTTTTCTTCAGATAAAATCTCACATGGAATGCTAAATATGGCAAGGAATAGAAGCAAACCTTTCCAAGCGAAATCAGTGAGTAAAGGAAGAATGGAGAGAGGCCGGGGAGGGCCAGGGACCCCAGACCATTCCCTCCCCTGAGCTGGCCTCTCCCCTTGCCCAGCTACCCTCTCCCAAGAAGACTTTTTTTTTTTCTTTGCGGTACGCGGGCCTCTCACTGTTGCGGCCTCTCCCGCTGTGGAGCACAGGCTCTGGACACGCAGGCTCAGCGGCCATGGCTCACGGGCCCAGCCGCTCCGCGGCATGTGGGATCTTCCCGGACCGGGGCACGAACCCGTGTCCCCTGCATCGGCAGGCGGACTCTCAACCACTGTGCCACCAGGGAAGCCCCCAAGAAGACTTTTAACTGCCCTCCACAGTCTAGGGCCCCTTCTGAAATGTACTGATCTACCGACATGAGAAAATGCAAAGCTTTCAGCCTGACCTTCCAAGGCCCTGATCGCCTGGCCCTGACTGCCACTTCCCTGTGGTCCCTCCACATCCCTATAGCCCCAGCTCTCCACAAAGCACAGGCTTATGCGCCACCAGATCTCTTTCCACTCTTCAAACACATCCTAAATTCACCCAGAGCCTGCCCTCTGCCCAGCCTGTTCTAAGGCCCAGTAGCCAGCCACCCATCCAAACGCTTTCTTTCCTTCAAGGAGCCTGCACTCGCCCCCCGTTCACAGCTGTTTTTCCTCCCCACCTCCCGCGCTGGCTCCTGCATCTCTGTTCGAGCTCCTAGCTCGCCCTCTTTGTCTGGAGTTATCTATGTACAAGTCTCATCTCTGTAAGACTGAACTTTCATAACAAACCTTGGCTTTTCCAACTCTGATGACCCCCTGCCCCCCAGCACAAAGAGAATAAGTACTGAATAAATGCTTATTGAGTTTCACCCCATCTCTCCCGACCTACAAAGAGTAGGTGGCTCCCAGATAGATGGACGCGTGTGGACTTTGTCGTTGCAGCCCTGCCATGTGCACCAGTAGTGCCTGCGACCTGGAGGAGATCCCCCTGGATGATGATGACCCAGACAGCATGGAATTCAAAATCCTGGAGTTCTACGTCAAACACCACGTCTTCAAGAACACCTCTGCTGTCTTCTCACGAAAGCTCCTGAGAACAAGAAGTTTGTCCCAGAAAGGACCAGAGAGTTGGCCGGCAAACAAAGCATGGACACAGGGACCGTGGACTTGCAGAAATTCCCAATCCACGGAGAAGGCCATAAACGTTGCCAAGAAAAAGTCGTCTTGGAGAACACTCTTTGGAGTAGCAGAGAAGGAGGAGGACTCTCAGAGCTCACCTCCGGAGATCCTTTTTGAGCTGCAAAGTCCGGTGGGACCTCAGAGTGGTCCTCACGGTCGGCAGTGGCCGAGGTCCCTCTCCCATGTGGAACAGCGCTTAGAGCGTGAAGGTAGGCTTTCGGGGATTCTTTCTCTCCCGCAGCCATGTGTTTCCCTTCTTTTTGCGCCTGGGGGTTCACCTCCTCCCAGCTGGTAATGGGGCCTTAGGCAAGGCACTCTTTGAACCTCAGCTTCCCAACCTATTAATACTCAATTCTAATTTCCCTGCTTTTCTCAAGACTGAAAAGAAAGGAAGAGGATAGCCGTGAAGGGTGACGGGACTGGTTTTCTGGCTCCACCGTCTATAAACTTGCTGCCCAAATCCCTAATCCTCAGTGCCAGAGACCAATATAAGAGAAATAGCCCCAGCCGGGCTCAGGCTGCTCTTCCTCCTGAGGGAAGTCAACTCCCGTCTCTGGGCCTCTGTGTTTCCATCTGTACAATGGCCTCTGAAGGTGGATGGAAAGATCAGATAGCTGTACACAAAAATACTTTTCAAAGTACAAGCCACTCAAAAAACAACCAAGAAGAATTTTGACAAAATCTTCCTTCAGTGGTACAAAACACGTTGTATTGAACAAAACATTTTCATGAAAAGGCTTTATCAGAATCGCCCTTCATCCACAAACCCTGGCATAACCATCTCCTTCCCCTCCAACAATACCTTGTGCCCAATGCCCAGATTTTAAAAGAAACCCCCCTCCTGCTGGGCTGATTGGCCCGTGTAACTTGTCAATAATTAGTCAACAGGTGGCAGTAATGTCTCAATTTTTAAACATTGTGATGGCTGGCTTACTTGGAGAATCACCCCACACAATGACAGCTTTAGATCATTCACTGTGATCAAGGAAACTTCCATTTCCTATCAGACTTATAGAATCTTAGGAGAGGGGAAGTTAGGGTCGGGATTACCTGGGGGAACTCCTCCTTCCCCCAGGGGTACAGCAGGCTTCTTCTACTGCGGGTGGTATCTGAGCTCTGGAGCAAACACAACAGTTTGGAGGCACCTCAATAGGCTTTTCTGCTTGTCCTGTTCTTTGGAGTTTGCCAGGAAACGGAAGATTTTACAGACTTTAACCTTCTGGCTTTCCTGAGAAAAATGACGTTCTGTATTTCAATACTACTGAAGTGTCATTTCACCTTTTTTTATTTTCTAAAATTTCCATATCTCTGTGTAGATATACAGATATCCCTACAAAAGTAGAAACGGTTACCTCCTAAAGAGGCTTAGCTTTAAGGATTTAAGCACAGTTGTTCCTCCCTTCTCACCTTCCTCTCTCCTTGCTTTCTTGTTTAGTTAATTATGTGGGTAGTTAGCTGGTTTTATGTTGGGTGTGACCCCAGAGGGACTCACGTTCTATTTCTATTCTGCCACATGTAAATCAGAGCTCAGCAGCTGGCGTCCCCTGGGTTCTTTTAACTGAAGGTCGCAATTTAGCCTGTGCTACCATTTCCAGGACTCAGACACCAGGTTGGAGTGAGAACGATGAGGTTATGTCACAAGACCAAAGTCTCATAGTAAGAGACCTTGGAATGTAGAAAAATGAATGTCAATACCAATTTTAGTAACACCAACCCGGGTTTTTGTGTGAATCTTTTTTTCTCCACAGCTATGACTCGCTACAACTTCAATAACACAGAGATTATTTTTCTCTCCCATAGAAGAAAACCACAGTTTGGCAGCCCAGGCTTGATCTACCAGTTTCCACAATCTTTAAGGATTCCTATTCTGGCCATCCCTCAGCTAGTTGCTTCCAACCTCAAAGTCACCTTAAAACCCAAGGTGGCTGTTGGGATTCCAGCCATCATGTCTACATTCCAAGCAGGAAGAAAGAGGAAGCAAGGGAAGGACAAAAGGGTATCTCCTTCCTAGATAATTCAGCTCCCTTTCAGAGAGCTTTCTTAAAACTGTACCCAACTTCTTACATCTCAGTGGCTACTCCTTACTGCAGACGAGGCTGGGAAATGTAGTGCTGTCAGCTTCCCCTGGCATCTCAGGGATCTGTTACTAAGGAAGAAAAAGAAAGTGGATACTGGGTAGGAAATAGCAGTCTTGACCATATGGAATTCTCTCACAAATGCCCTGCCTCTTCTAAAACAAATGCCTCAAGCCAAATGCCTTCCCCATCCCACTCTCCTGCTCTCCTTAATCCCACAATGAGCCCCCAGAATAAACTCAAAAGGATGGGCAGCCTTTCTGTTCTCTCTCCACACCCATCCAATGTTCCCTTGCCTATCAGATGGGACCAACTCTGATGAGAAGGGAATTTTTTTTTCCAGTTTTTTAAATTAAGGTATTAGAATGGGAATCTTAACTAGAGCTAATTCATCTGAGTGAAAATGAGGTTGCTTATAGTTTTTCCTGCACGTATTTCACCTGCATCCCTCCAGTCCGCAGAGACAGATACACATACACAGGTTAGTCAGCTTGGGTACCTCCACGTCTGCTGGGGGCCTTGTGATTGCCCTGCCACGTGGCGGGGGCTGGGGGCTGGGGAGCGACAACCTTGGGGGCCCTCATCTGCCTCCTTTGAGGGCAAGGTGGGCACAGTGTGACTTCCGTGGAAGAGAGCGTGTTAATCACCCTGCAGGCTGCACAAGGTTGCAGAGAGGAAAACACGTGGAAGCTTTCCTCTCCCGTCTCCTGCGGACACAAGGGAAGGCTCCCACCGGTTTTGGGATCCAGCCTCTTGCCACCTCCTTCCGTGGGTGGCCAGCATTCACAAGCAAGCCGGTTGGACTGCAGTAAGGTGATTTAAAAGTGGAAGGTACTTGTGGTTGGGTTATTAAAATGGGAAGGAAAAGCGTTGATCCTTCTCCTTGACCTCTCCAATTTTTCTCTCTCTAACCCACTCCTGATCTGTTTTTGAACCCTATGGATGGAGCATCATGAAAAATGTGGCTTTTTAAGGAAGCCATTATGCCTTTTTTTAAAGGAAGGCATTGTGGACAAAGTGTCAGTTCCCATGGCCTTTCAGTGAATGCCCTGGGGGGTGAAGGGAAAGCACCAGAGCTCCATGTGATGGGCGAATCCAGGGAGAGAGGTTCAGGAACCACCTTGGCAGCTCCTTAGGAGGTCAAACCCTGCCTTGCATGTGACACAATCCCTCCCCGGACCCAGGCCTTGCCTCTCTTATCTATCCTGATTGACAAGGTCCGGGTGTTCCCCTGGGCACACCAACCTTCTGGCCAAAACCCCACTCTGTTACTTTCGTCAAGTCTTATGAATTAAATACTGTTGTTCTTAAACACTGCATGATACGACCGCTCCGTATCAAAGGCAGAACTTGTACAAGCTTCTAAAAGTTAAGAACTTAGTGATGGATTAACAATGTCAATTTTACTCCCAAATAACTCAGCAGTACTGCCTGCCCTCCCAATCCGACCCCATCCCCTACCAGGGGCAAAGTCGACTTGTCCTTCACAGGCTATGACATTCAGGGGGCCAGTGCCATTTAAACCTTCATGTCCCCAAATGCTTTACCCTCTAGTTGCGTGTGCAAATTCATGACATAAGGCTTTTCCTGGACTATAAACTCTTGAAGGTCGTGGGTTAGACTTTATGCATCCTTGTTTACCTATCAGCATGTTTTGCATGTTTCCCACTAGACGTGGAGGAGAGAGAAGACAAGTGACCATGCAAGCAAGGGGAGTTCAGTGTTCACTTGATAATGAGTCATGAATATGGCCTGAGAGCAGGGATATTTCTCTTTCCTCCGTGACAACCCCCAAAGGCTTGTCACACTGCTGAATGCCCTCCTATGTGCATAGGGGCCAGCTCTCCAAGATATAAAGGATGTCCAAAAAAAAAGAATAAAAATAAAAGCATAATGAGCATTCCCTCAAGCAAAGAACTAAGCACTCCCTTTTGTGTTTCCTCCCTTGCAAAGGGGCAAAGGGACCCTAATTTTGCAAGGCTTCAGAAAGAAGGTGCAGAGGGGCAATTGTTTCGAGGTGGCAATCACTCCTCCGTGAACTCCTCCTCCGTCCCAGCCTCTGCCAGGCAACTGCCAGTGATTTCTGAAGAATGGACTCCCCTCCACGCACACTCCCGGCCGCTTCCTTTTGCTCCAGGCTGGTGTTTTCATTTCGGGCAACTGTGCATACCAATCAGCTAGACGAAGTTCTGGGAAGGGCCTGTCAGCACCATTTTGTCTTGTTTCAGCCGTGGACCCCAAAGTTGTTTCCATTGCCAACCGAGTTGCTGAAATCGTTTATTCCTGGCCGCCGCCAGAAGAGCTCCACAGCCAGGGAGGAAGCTTCAAGTCCAGAACGATTGTGGCACGCCAGGGTCTCCAGCACCAGGGCTTCCAGCCTACAGCTGCAGGTGGGAAGAGAGGTAAATCTCTTCTGAGTGTTTGCAGTGGGCTGCCTGTCTGCCATGCAGAGGTCTACAGCATTTATGTACTTATCAGGGCTCTGCAACTTAGGAATCTCTGCTAAGCTGGCCTCAGGGCACGACAGCAACATGCTGGAGGCACTGACCTTCTTTAGCTTGAGAGACCAGCCCAAGCCAAGGTGAGTGTGCCAGCAGCTGGAAGCAACAGGCCAAACTCACTGCTAAGTCCAAAGAAAAGTCTCCTACTGAGGGGCAGGAGGAAGCACAAAGCGTGCACTCAACCTTGTCCACAGGGGGAAATACATGTTAGATTTCATCATGTTAGCCACGGCCAAGGACCAGTGTACTCGAGCAAGTGCACAGGGTATAGTTGGAGCATCGCCCGGGGATTTATGATATTGCCTTGGGCTCCTGTGAAAAAGCAGGGGGTTGTCAGGTACCAGGTCTGGGGCAAAACGTGAAGCAGAACTGAGAAGTAGTGATCAGACTGGGTCAGTTGTCACCAAACTATACCAATAGGTAGGACTGTGGATCACATCCGACTTGCAGGAATTCTAGAGTTGAGGGAAGCAGGACCAAGTGCCACAGGAAGAGAAGTTCAGTCTGGCCATTCCGTCATTAATGACTATCCTGCCCGTGGTTCTCTTTCCCAAACTCCAGTGGATGATGAGGGTCCTAGCTGGCCCCTGAGTTTGCAGTACGCCGAAACAGAAGGCAAAAGATGTATCTGCAAAGGTGGTGGTGTCTCCCAAGCTCAGAAGCAAATTGCTGAGCTTGTCCACCCCGTGCTGGGCTGCTGGGACCACAAACTACCAAAGGGGCTTAGAGAGTGAGGCGCTGGGAAAGGAGGACCCTTCTGACAGCAAAAAACAGTGTTCCAACTTCATTGCTATCTCATGTATGCCTGGGCCTCGTAAAGCAATACCCCTAAACCAAGCAAAAGCTCAGGCTCTCATCCTTTGCGCGCACGAGAAATTCAGGCTGCTGTTATAGCAACTTTCCTGGAGAGAGGCGGCAGCGTCAGATTAAAAACTACACGTGGGCGGTGGAAGCATGCAGTCCTTCTTTTCCCAGGTGACTTGGGTCTCAGACTTCCTACCACCTTGCCCTTCACTCGACCTTGTGGGATGTATTTCCTGGCCTCTCCTCCCCTCTCCCTCTGGGACAAACATGAGGACTCCATGACATCAGAGACTGCGCCATAAGGAAAAAGGGCCGTCTCTGTTTGGATTCCGCTCTATAGCAACGACCGTTTTCCTAATGTTGCATGTTAGCACATTTTGAGACAAGAAAAATCAGACTCCACCTTCCCTGTTCCAACACAGACACCAACTGGAGCCACCTCTCTCTCTGTCTGCCATGTTAGCCTTTGGGGTGGGAGACCTTATTCATTTTATTTACTTATACTCCACCTTGTTGTAAAGACACAGCACACAAAGTACACATTTTAGTAAGATAAATCAAATTTGAAAGATACTGTAAAAAGAAAACAGTAGGAAAATAGGTGGGTTTAGGAATGAGTTTAATTCCCCAAATGCAGGAAGACTATACCCCCCCCCACCCTTAGGAGGCCACAGTTTGGCTCTACAGTTCCTAGCAGCTAACACAAAGGGGTAAGATGATCCAGTAGGGATTTATGGTGTCTATATGGAAAAAGCACCATATGCTCAGGACAAACCCAAAGACTGAGAGAAACTGCTCCTAAATATCTTTAGAGATAAGCTCATGTATCTTCAACAACATTTTTACAGTAAATAAAGTGATGAGTTTCATGGTGAGAACTGTGGGAGTGCTGGGGGAAGAAAGAGAGGAAAGGAGGGGACTGTGGGAAAGGGTGTCTGGAATGGTTTGGGCCTGATCAGAAGAGGCAAGGTAAGATTTACTTTGCTGAGAATTATGAAGGGCATGTCTTCCCCAATCCCTAACCAGGCTACAAGCATTGTCCCTGGAAACATTTAAGATTGTTTTTTCTTAAAAGAAATAACTGGAATTTTCCCCTGGCAGACGGAAAAGACCAGATAATAGCCAGAATCGTTGAGCTGCTGAAATATTCGGGGGATCAGTTGGAAAGAGAGGTAGGGAGCTTCTTGAACTAAAGAGTTTTCTTTCTGTGTCCGTGCGCTGGTACCCAAGAATGGAACTGTACTGCTGCTTGTACTCCTTTTCAAAGTTCTGGTTTCCACTTAGTCCTAAATTTTATTTCCCTTGGACTCAAAACTCTTCATGCTGGCAGCATCTCAAAAATGAATCACTTTGGAAAACATAAGTAAACCTTCTGGAGCCTCCTTGGAATTTTTGGAAATGAAAAAAGGAACTTTGTTTTTGCAGGAAAAAGACACCAATAAATTAAAATTTGCTAAATAGAATTATGAATCTAGTTCCCCATGTAACTGATCCTCAGGGAAGTTTAGACTCTTGCATTTGCCCTGCAGCCTGGATATCTGTGTCCCACAGCTGCTCCAAGTCTGGAGTCTTGTCTGAAATCTCCCCCTAGAAAGGCCGGACTGTTCTCTCTCAGCAATTCAGCCAGGGGGCAGGTTAGTGTTAACTCGGAGAACTTTGAGTTTCCTGCCATTTAGAAGTTGAGACCAGTCCTTCCCATCAGGAACGTGTAGGGGTTACCTTCAGGTAAAGAGGTAGTGAGCAGGCCCCCCTGTAGTCAGGGCTTCTCAAGGGATCTTGTCCGTGTCTGCCGCCCACTGACGGCTGCATGGTCTCCAGCATCTGTGCATCAGGGGCTGGCCTGTGGACCCATTCCTTCGTTTGGCCAGGATCCATGGGGAGGAGTCAGGTCTGTGGGGACTCTGCAGGAGGGGGAAACAGCACTCACTGGCTAGCCAGCCAGCCCAGTCTCAGCATGCTCTGTGGCTCCTCGACGCCTTTGTCGCAGGTGTGCCCAGAGGATGGTGACCAGGACGGGGAAGGGCAGGTGAGGTGGTGCAGAATGAGAAACACTGAGGAAACACTGAGGACCAAAGAGAAGAGAAGGGGGTATGGGAGCTTCAGGGCCACAGTACGGGGTGGACAGGGGTGCAGAGGAAGCAGAAAACAGAAGCGGGCACATGGTTTTAAGGACACCCCTGTGTTTCTCCAGAACTAACATTGATAGGAGTTACAGGGCAATTGATTTCTCCCCAAAGAATGAACTTTCTAGCACTCAGTGCTGTCCATCGAAGCCAAGGGCTGCCTTGTGAAGAAATGATCTTCCTGTCTCTAGAAGAATTCCAAGTAGATGCCACTAACCAGCCCACAGTTCAGTACTTGAACTAGGAAGGATCTGACAGGTGTGCTCAAGGATTCCTTACAGCTCAAAGTTGCTGTGGCTCTCACGGCCGTCTCCTTCCCGGCCTCCCCCCGGGGCAGGGACTTGGCAGTAGGTCAGGGAGGCCAGGGACGGGGGCGTGGTATGAAGGTTGACCCTTCTGGTTATGAAGAGAGATGCTTTCCTTTTCACCCCACAAATTACCACTTTAAAAACCTCACTTTGCCTGATGCACTCTCTTGATGATTTGGGGGCAATCATTTACATTATTTATGTAGAAAACATGGTGGTGGTTCTCTTTATGTGGTTCCCCAGTAGAGGACTCTGGTGGGAACACACAGAAGCTCTACTCGTGCTCTGTGGGTGTTAAGTTCCCCACAGAATGGGACAGTGACAAGGAGGAGGGGACCTGCCATGTCTGCAGTGTCTGCAAAGCCACTCATCCCCGAGGGCACTTGCGGGCTCCTCCCACACCTCCCTGAGATGCCAGAAAGCCAGGTGCAACCCCAAGGGGCAGGGGGGCAGAGTGGGTACCTGTGGAAGGGGTTTCTTTCTGGCGTTTCATTCTTTTACTGTGCTGGCATGGTCCTGGATTCCAGCCGCCCGCTGGAGGTTTCGAGTCTACCTTCTTCCACTGGGTCATGACTAAGAGGAGTCCATTCTTGGTGTCGAGGATGTCCCTGCTTCAGATTTATAATTCAAATAGGCCCCTGTGTCTCCTGGAAGTTGGGAGGAGGTGGGCTGGGCTCAGGTAAAGGACACGGCTCCACTAAAAATCTTTATGTCGCATCTGACTCATCCCCAGAATACCCCTTTTAGAAACCATCTTGGTTGAAAACCTGCTCAGCTTATCATTCCTCAAGGACAGAACTAGTTGATTTTCAAATAAACATATATAGTCCCTGATCATTGAGAAATTTCTGTTTTCACATGACAACCATCACTTTACAGACATTGCAAGGAAGGCCTTAGATGACGATGATGTATGCTTTATGACACAAGCCCTGATTTTTCACAAGCAGAGGCAGGGACTTCCCTGGTGGTCCAGTGGTTAGGACTCTACATTTCCACTGCAGGGGGCACGGGTTCGATCCCGGTCGGGGAACCAAGATCCCGCATGCCTTGCGGCATGGCCGAAAAAAAGCATCTCGCATCTTGAAGCATCCTGGACAAATGCTAACACTTTGAGAGCACTTTCCGCCATGTTGTGCACAACATGTTTTACTCAATTACCCTGTAGTACAGGTACTGTCATCCCAGTATAGAGATGACAAAACTGAAACCGAGAGGTTAAGTTCTCCAAGATTGCACAGCTAGTAAGAGGTGTAGCAGGAGGGGTTGAGCCCGAAGACAGTGATTTCCAGGCTTCAGATTCTGCCCATTATACAATCTCTAACAAAGCACTTTGCGCTGGTTCACAACCGTCAGTAGACTGTGAGCCCTTTGAGTGAGGGGCTGAGTCTTAATGGTCCACAGTACCACCTTTTGGGTACTCAGCACTCAGGAAACATCTGTTAAATGTTGAATGAATGGGCTGTTCAGTTTGTATTTGTCCCCATGAAAGAAATTCACAGAGAAGGTCCATGCCCAATCCGGTCCTGCAGGACATGGTACCACGATTGAGACCAGAATTGAGGGTTTTCCATTGGGTGTTTCAGTTGCCCAGTGTCGAGTGGGAGAGTTTGCCTGCCCGGGCCAGGCCGCTATACTGACTGCTTCTCCTCTTGCACACAGTTGAAGAGAGACAAGGCTTTGATGAACAGCTTCCAGGGCGGGCTGTCCTACTCTGTTTTCACGACCATCACAGACCAGTTCCTAAGCGGTGTGGACACCAGGGGAGAATCAGAGGTCAAAGCTCAGGGCTTTAAGGCTGCTCTTGCAATAGACGTCATGGCCAAGCTCACAGGCATCGACAGCCATCCCATGAACAGGGTGCTGGGCTTTGGAACCAAGTACCTGAGGGAGAACTTCTCGCCCTGGGTCCAGCAGCACGGTGGCTGGGTAAGTGCATCCTATTTAAAAATAAATCTTCCCAGAACTCAGAGGAGATGGGATGGAAAGGGGTTTTTTGGGTTTGTTTTTTTAAGTGAAGGGAACACATCTTTGAAGCGGTTCTCATGGGTTTCGGACACTTGAGTGGCAAGAGATTTATCCCATTGATGGGAACATATTTTTTTAGTGATTATCTTATCAATAAATATTTACTGAGCTCCCAAAGGGTACTGGGGTATGTGTGTGGGGGGAGAGGGACTGGTCGGATATAACAGGAAATGAAGAGATGTTGATATAAAATGTTTAGATAGACATAATTTCTGTTTTCACAAATTTTGCAGGCAGCGGAAGTCTAGCAGTGAGAAAAGGACAGGCAGATGGTTCCTTATTCTCTCAGATGCTGATGGGGTGTGGGTGTAATTCTCACACAGAGGTTCAGGACTTATGACATTTTGCCATTGTTGCTTGGACCCAGCCATTTTGACAGGGACATTTTGATAACTGAAGCAGTTAAATTTTCATCTATTTTTAATTACCTGCTATCAGGCAAAACAGACCTCTCTACCCTGATTCCTCACCTCAACCCCTCTCCCATCCTTTTCCCTTGAGATTTCCTTAAAACTGCCATGTTCAAATGGCCTCATAACAGTAACCTTTTCAAAACGCTTTACCCCATCCAGAGCTCTAAATCTCAATACAGTTAAGTGCCCTACGTACGAACGAGTTCTGTTCTGAGAGTGTGTTCGTAAGTCCAACAAAGTTAGCCTAGGTACCCAGCTAACACAATCGGCTATATAGTACTGTACTGTAATAGGTTTATAATACTTTCCACACAAATAATACATGACACAAAAAATCAAGAAAGCATTTTGAATCTTACAGTACAGTACCTTGAAAAGTACAGTAACACAGTACAACAGCTGGCATCCAGGGGCTGGCATCGAGTGAACAGACAGGAAGAGTTACTGACTGGAGGAGGGAGAGGAGGTAGAGCTGAAGGATCCTCAGCAATAGGAGACGGAGGGCAAGCTGCACTTTCACTCATGCCCAACATTGATGGCACAGGTTCTGGTTCCTTGCTGGAACCAGATGCACGTTTGCATCTTTGAAAGTTCGCAACCTGAAGGTTCGTGTGTAGGGGACTTACTGTAGGCCTAGGGCATTTTTGTCTGTTCAAGCCCTTCTTAGGAGGACATACATTATCATTAGTCCTCTTTCCACTAGAGTGGTCCAGGGGCCAGGAGGTTTGAGTCTGCTCTGGACATGGCCCTGGGGCCTCCAAACAGGCTTAGTGTCTTGGCTGCCAGACGGAAAGTACAGCTGATCATGCCTAAGGGGCTGAAGTGCCCGCCATGGTCTCCAGTGGCTACCCATTAAGCAACCCAGACTTCTGTTCTTTCCTATTTTCCACTTTTACACCAGATATGATAGCCCTTAAGTGGCTAATCTGAACAAGGCTCTTTCTAAATTCAAGCTGCCTTAACTCACGCTAAGAAGAGGACAGAATCCTCAACATCACTTCAGCTTTAACTGCTCTTCCTTCCAGGACCCCCTCAAGTCCCTCTTCTGCCCCAGAGCCCTTACGGACTACTCCGGCTCAAGACTCTTACCAGCCTCAGACCTTTTACAACACTTCACGTTTGCATTATGATTATATACAGGAAATTACCATCATTGTTGGTCTAGTTAATATATTTTTCCAGCGAGATTATAAGTATCAATTGGGCTTACAGGCCCATTCTCAAAAGTCTATTTAGTTAATTAATGTAGCTGAAACATCAAAAGTGTTCTATGAAAAACGGCATTGCTACACCAAAAGCAGAAGCGACAAAAGAAAAAATAAACTGGACTGCATCAAAATTAAAAATATTTCTGCTTCAAAGGATACCATCAAGAAGGTAAAGAGAAAACCCAGAGAATGGGAAAAAATATTTGCAAATTATATATCTGATAAGGGACTTGTATTCAGAATATGTAATAAATTCTTACAACTCAACAATAAAAGACAAAAAACCCCGCAATTTTTTTAAACGGGCAAAATCGATTTGAATAGACATTTCTTCAAAGAAGATATACAAATGGCCAATAAGCACATGAAAAGATCCTTGCTTGCCATCTTCATTTCTACATTAGGGAAATGCAAATCAAAACCACAATGAGATACCCACTAGCATGGCTAAAATAAAAAAGACAAGTGTCAGTGAGGATGTGGAGAAATTTGAATCCTTATACATCGCCGGTTGCACTCTAAAATGGTCAAGCCCCTTTGGAAAACAATTTGGCAGCTCCCCAAAAGGTCTATACCCAAGAAAACTGAAAACAAGCGTTCACATAAAAACTTGTACGTGAATGTTCATAGCAGCATCATTAGTCATAATGGCCCCAAAGTGGAAACAACGAAAAGTTTATCCATGATGAATAATGAATGGAAAAACCAAATGTGGAATATCCATACAGTAGAATAATATTTAGCCATAAAAAGGAATGAAGTATGGAAAGGTGGATGAACCTTGAAAACATCATGCACAGTGAAAGAAGTCAGACAGAAGGGCCATATATTGTATGATTCCATTTATATGAAATGTCCAGAATAGACAAATTCATAGAGACAGTGGTTTCCTAGGGCTTTGGGGAGAGAGAACGGGGTGTGACTGCTGACGGACACAGAGGTTCTTTTTGTGGTGATGAAAATGTTCTAAAATCAGATAGAAGTGATGGCTGCACAACTTCGTGAATATACTAAAAGCCACTGAATTATATACTTTAAGAGGTGAGTTTTAGGTATGTTTCAAAAAAATCTGTTATGAAAAACAGTGGTTCTGGGCTTCCCTGGTGGTGCAGTGGTTGAGAGTCCGCCTGCCGATGCAGGGGACACGGGTTTGTGCCCCGGTCCGGGAGGCTTCCACATGCCGCGGAGCGGCTGGGCCCGTAAGCCATGGCCGCTGAGCCTGCGCGTCTGGAGCGTGCGCTCCGCAGCGGGAGAGGCCACAACAGTGAGAGGCCTGTGTACCGCAAAAACAAAAACAAAAACAAAAAACAGTGGTTCTAATTCTAGTAAGCAAATAAAAAGAGGAAAGAAAAAAGAATATAAAAAGTTTTATTAGTTCTTAATTTGGTTGCTAGTGCTAGAGAGAAAAACAGTTCCAATCAGAGAAAACAGATGGATTTTTTTTGGGTAGAAATAATAAAGGGAATTTTCAAAGGCTTTAGAATTTTGTGGCACTAGTTCTTTAGCACTTGTATTTTCAATTCAAAATGTATTAGTTTACTTTTCCAGGTCATCATAAATCTTAATCTTAAATCTTGGCCACAGTGAGGTTTAATTTGGAGCACGTAGCTAGAAATTAGGAGAGGGAAGAAAAAGAATAAGAGGGAAAGGACTAATTTTTTCCAAAGTTGCAGAGACAGAGTTGCAAAAAATAAAGGATGCTGCTGAAAGAATATTTACGAGTTGATACGAACTATGAAAGTGTGGAGGCGGGTGGCTCAGTCTCCCTGAACAGGAAAGAGATGAATCTGGGTGGCAAGCCTTCCATTGCCCCAGGGATGTTAGTGGCTCTCTGGAGTGTCCTTGTAGTGTGGTGCGGAAGGAGAACAACTATTCCTAGGCACACGTTTTCCAGGAGCTCAGGGTTCCTAATTATCTTAGTCGTCCACATTTCATAGAAGTGCATCTTATCTTCCCAACGGAACTGCAAGTCTGTGAGGGCAGAATTATGTATTTCATGCCCCTTTTTCTCTCTCATAGTTTCCATTACTTTTACATAAGTCATAGATGTTCAGCCAATATTTGTAGAATAATGAGTCGATCAAATGAATGAATAGCGACTCTATCCACAAAGCATGCCAAACAAGCCACCATTTGATTTTAATTTATTCCTTGGCCTTTTTCCTTCACTTGAAGCACCATTCACATCGTTACCCTGTGGTCCTGGCAACCTCACCCCTTCTACAGCACCTTGAAAGAAGAGGTTTGCAGCCTCCATAGTCATCAACCTTTCAGTATCTACTCTTTCGAATTTAACCATAGAATCAAAGACTTTTCCCATCTAGCCAGTTAGCCCTGGGTGTGTAACGTAAGTCCTTAGCTGATAAAGTTTTCCTTTCAGGCATACCAAGGATGCCAGTCACCTTTCCAAACCCTCCCCCAACCTTAACATGGTCTCCAGGCCTTGGGTCATGCCTGGGATAAGAAAGCAGAGTTAACAGGCAAACGTTTTCACTTCAACAGTGAATCAAACTTGGAATTTTAAGAATCTATTTCTCTTTTTCCCCCCCTCTAGGAAAAAGTACTTGGGATATCACATGAAGAAGTAGACTGAAACATCAGAGGATTTGTAATCTGGAATACTCATGGTCCAACTCTGGTCTTGTGTACATCAGTCTTAGCACAGACTATGGGAGAAAACAAAGATGGACAAGGCAGATGGACCATCAAAATCTGCAAAACCATTATTCCTGCAAATCAAGAGGCATCAGGAGAGGCCTTGAAATCTCCGGCTCATAGAATCTAGTAGCATGGCCCTCGGCATCCGTGTTTTCAGGTCTCCACTGAGTGTGTAAGGAAGTCTCGAAAGACAAGTGGTAATTTTCCATTCAAATGCTTAGAACAGAAGCCATCACCCTGCCTCTGCCGGCCACTTTAGTGAAAGTGTGTGACAGAGGTTTGTTGACCTCATGAAGGTGAAATGATAAACGGTGCGTTTGCTTACTCTTTCGTTTCCAGTACTATTTATTTTTCAAACTTCACTTGAGATGGCCTGATAATGACATTGTTTCAAGCCTACCTTTAGGCCCATGTGGCTGTTCATGTTGGTAGACAGAGCTCAGAGACTCCTGAGTTTACTGCTGTATCCACTAGCCTGGGGAGGGACTGCCGTATCTGCTTTTGCGGTACGTGGGCCTCTCACTGTTGTGGCCTCTCCCGTTGCGGAGCGCAGGCTCAGCGGCCACGGCTCACGGGCCCAGCTGCTCTGAGGCATGTGGGATCCTCCCAGACCGGGGCACGAACCCGTGTCCCCTGCATCGGCAGGCGGACTCTCAACCACTGTGCCACCAGGGAAGCCCCGTACCTGCTTTTTGACTCACTTCTCTTGGAGAATTCTTTGGCAGTTTGAAAAACTTCCATTTGGCAGAAAACGACTATTCCTATCACCCTCAACTATCTCAGTGACCCCACCTCTACTTCTCGAGGTTTCTAGGCCTTTGTTATTTTTTGCGGTAATGATTAGTGGTTGGTAAAATAAATATGCGGAAAGGTAACTGTCAAAAGAGTATGTTTATGGTTAAAATAAACAGTAAGTAAGAGTATACGATTTCTGTGAGGATCATATAAGTTAATTTATATCAAGCGCATAGAACGGGGCTTGGTGTTTAGTGCTGTATTCACTTATGTCCGCTATTGCGTGCTAAGCTGAAAACTTCCTTTGCTTTCAAAGCAGTCACTGATAGTTTTTCTGAAATTGATACTGTTCAGAATGAGGCTTTTTAGTAAGTAAAGTATGTTCCAGAGTGGGTGTTTAAGACACAAAACAATTTTTTAAAATACTACCAAATTAGAGTCTTACGAATTTCTGGCTCCCTAGCACCCAGCACGTAGCCTGATGTAAAGTAGGAGTTTAACAGACCTCTGATGAACGAATAAATGAATGAGTTTATCAGACATATTTTCAGCTTCAAGGGAAAACTGGAGCTATCTATTATCACATGCTTCACTACTCTACTCTGGATTAAAATGAGTTATTCTCTTTTACCTTCTTCCGCCTACACTGAAACTCACAAATTTTAGGGCTCAAGGGGTTTCCTTTTACAGATGGAGACACTAGAGACCACCTCTCTCCATTCCAAACTATTTGCAGTTCCCCAAATGTATTATGTAACCTTGTACCTCTGAGCCTCATAACATTTTCCCCACTTGGACTATTCTTGTCTGTCGGTCCTCTTTCCCCCGTTTTCCCTAATCCAACTAATTCTAGCCCATTTTTGAAAATCCATTCCTTCATTTTCTCCAGGAAGCATTTGCTAACCCTCCCTGGGCCACCATGAGACTGTATTTGGATGCCTTTCCTCATAAGGATGTTCCATATCACCCTGTATAGAGACATTATACCTAATACATTGTATCATAAAAATGAGTCTTTTGCACTGGATTATAAATTATTTTGTAAACAACTGTAATGTCTAATTTAACTTTGTATACCTAATGCCTGGCATATTTTTAGTGCACATTTGCAGAATCACACCCTAGCCTCACTGCTATAACCTGTAAATCAGTAAGGTTGGAGCATGGCCCAAGGTATGTGTAGTTCTAACAAGCTCTGCAAGTGTTCCAATATCGTCTGCAGCTTCTAGCCAAGGTGAAGTACTAGTAACTGAATTTAAGCTCCTGCTACAAACAACTGAAAAACAGATGAAATATATATATAAAAAACCAGTTATCAACTGTGCATCAGGTAATGAAGGACTTGGTCCCTGAGAGATGAGAAAAAAAGTGAGCCCAATGACTGCCGTAGATTACTGCAGGCAGAGTTCCCAGGTCACGCTGCAAGGAAGGGAGCCCACACAGGGCTCAGCACTCTCCCTGAAGAGAGGAGATACAGCCTGGGAGTCCAGGAAGGCCAAGGCAGCTGAAGTTTGTAGGGCAAATGGAGAGAAGATGGCACATCAAGCTCCAGAGATCTGCAGACAGCTCCCCTCAAGTTTTCAGACGAATGCTCATCAACGTGTGCCTATCAAGAAGTTACCCAAGGCTTGGGAAAGAAACGCCTGAAAACATTAAGTGGCATATACTCTTCCAGGCTCACACAGGGCTGGGAGCAGTGCCTATTTCCACTAAGCAGAATGGAGAAACCTCAAAATCCACATGGCAATAGGCGGAATACACAGAAGAATTCTGCCTCCATAGTGGGAAAAAATTAGCCCTAGACTAAACATACTTCTGGTTCTCTCCAGCAAAAGCAAACAGCAAGTACCAAAAGGACTAAGCTGTTATCAAGTGATTTAGCTGTGTTCCAGAACAAAGCTCAAGAATCTTTAAAGGATCGCAAGACTACCCAACACCCAACAGGTAACATTCACAGTCAGCATCCAATAAAAAAAAATTACAAGGCGTGTAAAGAAGCAGGAAAATTAGACCCATCATGAGAAAATTAAAAAAACAAAACAAAACAGAGATGATACAGCTGATATACTTATTCTACAAGGACACTGAAACCATCTTTATTGTATTCCATATGTTCAATGAGCCAGAGGAAAGACTGAACGTGTGAAGTACACAGAACCTCACAAAGAAATTATAAATATGACTCAAATCAAACTCCTAGAGAAGAAATCTATAACTCTGAGATGAAAAATATACTGGATCGGATTAACAGCAGACTAGACATTGTAGAAGAATAGGTAAGTAAACCTGAAGACATACCAATAGATTCAAAATAAAACACAGAGAAATAAGACTGGGGGAAAAAACAACAGAGCAACAATGACTTGGGAAATGACTTCTACCAGCCTAATATATGTGTAACTGGAGTGAAAATTTTCCAAATTTGATGAAAACTATAAATCTACAGAACCAAGAAACTCAATGAATGCCAAACACAAAAACACGTAGAAAACTAAGGCACATCATAAATTGCTCAAAAGCAGTGATGATGAAAAAAAATCTTAAAAGTAGCCAGAGAAAAAGGCACATTACATACATAAAAACAAAAATAAAAATGACAGCAAACTTTTCTTGGGAAACAATACAAGACAGAAGAAGAGTATTAACTTTAAAGTATGAAAAGAAAAAAAACCTGTCAGCACAGAATTCTATACTCAACAAAAAGATGATTTTAAAAAGGAAGGTGAAATAAAGATTTTTTTGAGAAGTACCAAAAAAAAAGAATTCCTCACTAGCAGAACTGAACTATAAAAAATGTTAAAGGAAGTCCTTTAGGCAGAAGGAAAATTATATCAAATAGACATTTATATCTACAGAAAAGAGTGAGCACTGGAAATGATAAGTACAATAAAATACTCTTATTCTTATTTGAATCTCTTTTAAAGATAATGGACCATTCAAAGGAAAAATAATTATAGGGTTTATAATATGTAGAATAAAATGTGTGACAATAAGTACAGGGCTGGGAAGAGAGAGATGGAAGTATAATTGTAAGATTCCATACTATATGTGAAGTGTATAATTTCACTTGAAAGTAGACTGTGGTAATTTTAAAATACATACTATACAACTAAAAAAAATCACTAAAACATACACACACATATACACTTACACAAGACTCACAGCTAATAAGCTGACAAAGGTGATAATATGTAATCATAAAAAATAATCCAAAAATAAAGCAGAAAAGGAGGAAAAAGGGAACGAAGGACAAATAAGACAAAAAGAAAACAAATAGCAGGTGCTGGAATATTAAACCAAACCATATCAATAATCACAATAAATGAAAATGGTCTAAACATCCCAATTAAAAGGCAGAGATTACTAGATTAGAAAAAAAATCCAGACCTAGCTATATGCAGCCTACATAAAACAGCTTTAAATACAAAGACATGATTATGTTAAAAGTAAAAGAAGGTAAAAAGAAATACCGCAATAACCCTAATCAAAAGAAAGATGGAATGACTATATTAATATCAGTCAAAGTAGATTTCAGAGCAAAGAATGTTAATATTAGTGTTAATTAGTATTAATGCAATTTAATAATAATAAAGGGGTCAATTCATCAAGAGGACCTAACAATTGTAATGTTTATACATCTTCTAGTGTGTGTGTTTTTTCCCCACACTACCAAGAATTCTCCAACACCAGCTGGGTATCCTACAATTCAACTCAATTCTGACACTATCTACCCATGTCAGATCCCACAGGTTAAGGGCTCAGCTCCAGGAGACTGGCTCCCCAACAACACACACTTCAGATGCAATCGCAAGTCCAGACTGTCACCTGGGCTTCTGACCAACAGGCTATAATCAGAAGTTTCTATGACCCCCTCCTTGGGTTCAATTAATTTGCTAGAACAGCTCACAGAGCTCTGAGAAACATTCTACTTACTAGATTACTAGTTTATTATATAAAAGGATATAACTCAGCATATAAGCCAGATGAAAAGATGCACAGGGCTAGGTACGGCTGCAGAGCTTCCATGCCCTCTCCAGGAGCACCACTCTCCCAGCACTTTCATATGTTCATCAACCAGAAGCTCTCTCAACCCTGTCCTTTTGGGTTTTTATGGAGGCTTCATTACAGAGTCACGATTGATTGAATCACTGGTCATTAGCAACTGATTCAACCTCCAGCACCCCTCCTCTTCCTGGAGGTCAAGGGTTGGAACTTTCAGTCCCACCCCTCTAAGCAGATAGATGGTTCCCCTGAAAACCAGCCCCCATCCAAGGTTACCTAGGGGCTTTCCAAAGTTAACCATATTATTAACAAAAAGATACCTTTATAGCTCTCACCACTAAGAAAATTCCAAAGATTTTAGAAGCTCTGTACCAGGAACAGGGACAAAGATCAAATATATATTTATTATAAATCACAATATCACAGCTTCAAATACACAAAGCAAATCACAGTATTAAACAACTTCAAAATACACAAAGCAAAAACTGATAGAATTCCAAGGAGCTATAGACAAATTCACAATTATAGTTGGGGATTTCAATCTCTCTCAACAGTTAATAGAACAAGTAAACAGAAAATAAGTAAGGATATGGTAGACTTCAACACTACCAACCCACTTGATCTAATTGACATCACAGGGCTTCCCTGGTGGCACAGTGGTTGAGAGTCCGCCTGCCAATGAAAGGGACACAGGTTCGAGCCCCGGTCCGGGAAGATCCCACATGCCACAGAGCAACTAAGCCCATGCGCCACAACTACTGAGCCTGAGCCCTACAGCCTGTGAGCCACAACTACTGAAGCCCATTAGCCTAGAGCCCGTGCTCCTCAACAAAAGAAGCCATTGCAATGAGAAGCCCTCGCACCACAACTAAGAGTAGCCCCTGATAGCTGCAACTAGAGAAAGCCTGAGCACAGCAACGAAGACCCAACACAGCCATAAATAAATAAATAGATAGATATATAAATAATAGATAAATAGATAAATAAATAAAATTTAACTGACATCACAGCCATCACACCCAGCAATGGTAGAAAGCACATTCTTTTCAGCTGCACATGTAACATTTACAAAGTAAAACTATATTCTGGGTCATAAAACAAATCTTAATACATTTAAAAGGATTCAGATCATACAAAATATGTTTGATGATCACAATGAAATTAAATTATAAATCAGTAACAGAAAGATATCTAGAAAACCCCTCAAATGTTTGGATACTAAATAAGCAATGTCTGAATCACCCATGGGTCAAAGAAGAAATCTAAACTTAAGAAAATAAAAGCACAACGTACCAGAATTTATGAGAGCCACTAATGTACTACTTAGGGGGAAATTTATAGCACTAAACACCTACATTCAAAGGAATGGTCATTAACTGATGACTTCAGCCTGTACCTTAAATTACAAAAAGCAAATGCAGAGTAGGCATAAGTGGGGAGGAGAATCAAACAGAAAACTAGTGGAAAATCTATGAAACCAAAAAGTGGTTTGTTGAGCAGTACAATAAAACCTCTAATCTGACTGATCAGGAGAGGAGGCACAAATTACCAATATCAGGAACAAGAGAGGTGACATCATTATAGGTTCTACAAATATTAAAAGGAAAATAAGAATATGATACAAAACTTTATGCCAAGAATCTGACAACTTACATGGAATGGACAACTTTCTTGAAAGACAGAAACTACCAAAGTTCACTCAAGAAAAACAGAATGTAAAATTTTACATTGCCAAAATGGAAAACATGTTGGCAGTCCCTTAAAAAGCTAAACAAACATCTATGAGATGACCCAACCATTTCAGTCTTAGGAATTTACTCAAAGCAAATGAATTTGGTCCAAAACTTGTACCAAATGAAGTAACTATTTGTGAAAGGTCTAAAGAGAAAACAACCCAAATGTTCATCAACAGATGAATGGATAAACAAATTGTGGTGTATCCATACAATGGAATACTATTCAATTAAAAACATAATGAACTATTGGTATATCCTGTAACACGGATGAATCTCTAAGTGAAAGACGTTAGACCAAAGCCAGGGGGTGGG